TGGCTGGATGGAAGAAAGCAAAGGGTTGTTATAAATGAAGTTCAGTCAAACTGGATTAATGTCATTAGTAGGTTAGGACCTTTGCTTTTTTTTATTTACATCAATGACATAGATGAAGGAATAGTTAATGAAGTATTTCAATTTGCTGATGATATTAAAGTCTTGGGTGTGGCTGACTGTAAGGAGGAGGCTGCTGCTTTACAAAAGGGATTGGATTATATAATGAGTCAGGCAAATAAATGGCAGATGGGTTTTTATTATAATAAATGCAATGTAATTCACATGGGATATCACAATATGAATTATGAGTGTGATTTTGATGGGAATAACCTTAACAGTGTTATGGGAAAAAAAAATTGTTGTTCTGGTCGATCAGTCGTAAACCATCCAAGCAATGTCCTATTGCTAGTTGCAGGACAAATAGGATTTTAAGTTATATCTACAGAAATATTAAATACAAGTCTAAAGAGGTTATAATGACATTCTATAGGTCATTGGTTAGGCAACACTTGGAGTACTGTGTTCAGTCTTGGGCTGGGTACTTAGAACATTGAATTGCTGGAAAGGGTTCAGAGGAGGGCTATTAGAATAACAACTGGGATGGAAAGGTTGCATACAAGAATAGATTAATATCTCCGAAATTTGTTTCTCTGGAAAAATGAAGAGCTAGAGGAGATCTAACTAAAGTGTTTAAGATTGTTAAAGGAAATGAAATTGATTTTCTTCTGTATTGAATGGTAAAACACAAATATAAATTATGGCAGAGTGGGAGTTCGTCGTTAGCTAAAACTGCTTTATTTTTTAAACAGGGTGATTGTTTTTTGGAATGTGTTGTCTTCAAATATAGTGAATGCAGTTAATGTATGGGAGTTTAAGGGAAGGCTTGATATATATTTGAATGCTCAGGGCTGACTTTGAATGTTTTTAAATTTTATTTTAGCATTAAGTATGGTGGATGGGATGACCTGGATTGATCAACAGGTCCCTTGTAGTTCCTTAAGTTATATGTTTGTATGTACATCTGTAAGTGACACGATAGCAGCATCAACAGGTCCCTTGTAGTCCTTAAGTTATATGTATGTATGTACATCTGTAAGTGACATGATAGCAGCATCAACAGGTCCCTTGTAGTCCTTAAGTTATATGTATGTATGTACATCTGTAAGTGACACGATAGCAGCATCAACAGGTCCCTTGTAGTCCTTAAGTTATATGTATGTATGTACATCTGTAAGTAACATGATAGCAGCATCATTCAATCTTTCAGATAAGTTTTTATTTTAGGTTTATATATACTCCTGTTAAAATATATTTTTGTAGTGACTGCTGTATATGCTATCATAACATTACAAAAAGTGTTTGGGAAATTGCTTAATTAATAAACATTATAATTAATAAAGTGAATTTATTATTTTAAAGTATTTTAAAAAGTGGTAATGAATTTACCCAATTAATATATTATATCAGGCTTCGACAAATATGTTTAGATCTAGGAGCCAGCCATAAACTTGCGAACAAAGTGTGCCTAATCTAACTTCACTACTGTTTGTACTGGGAAATGGGGACAACATTAGTGCCTCGATTATCTGCGCCTCCATTATCCTCAATTATTTGTTTTTTCAAAATAATTATGCCATTACAATTATAGACAATAATTTGCATGTTTTGAAGAAATTGTTACTCAGAAATTAATTTTGGTTGCAAAAGCTCAGGTGCTGCATGATATCCGATGTTTTTGTGTACAGGATGAGGTGTGTATTCAAATTGTAAGTTGGCCGGTTCAAACCTAGCCTTGCCTCTTTTATTTTTAACTGTTAAGACAGGAATACAAAATATTTGTAGCTTGGTTAACTATTTGATTAGTGATTAAACACATAGTATGCAAAAGACATATTAAGTTTTCATAAAAATTTCACTCAACTTCAGTTG